CTACTCACTTGTATAGACCACAGCAGCTTTATATTTTTCATTTCATAATTATGTTTCTAGAGAGGACTCTAATATTATATAAGCTGAAGTTCCCACAAAAACTGGATCTACCCCTGACTTGGACAGTGTACATAAAGATGTTTAGTATATGTATAATTGGCTAACGAAATCTAAATACCTAGAAATAAGACAAATTTTATGTTGTAGCCCATTTCTGACATCAGGACTATTAACTTTTGAACTCAATAATTTTTGTAGTGGGGGCCTGTTTTGTGCATTGTAAGAAGTTTAGCAGCATCCCTCACCTCAACTCATTAAATGTCAGCAACACATACATCCCTCCAGTTATGACAGCCAGATAAGTTCCTGAACATTGCCCAGATATACACTAGAGGGAAGAATATGCCCTTCCACTGAGAATCACTATAACCGTACCAAGGCAAATTCTGCAACTATTAAAAGGAATGCCATTATTAAGTAAGTATTGATGTGAAAAACATAAACATACAGATTAAGTGACAAAATAAAGTTGAATATTCATTTAAGCAATATGAGTTCATATAATAAGAATATATGTGTGTCTGCACATACTTTGCATGCATATGATTGAAAGGCATTAGAAAGATGGGCAACAAATTTTTAGCAGTGGTTATATTTAGAAAGAGGAGTACAATAGGGGCAGGGTGGGAGAAAATTGTAGTAGAGAGAAAACATCTCTAAATATGTCTGTGCTGTTTCAATCTTTTCCACAAGTAAAGTCTTTACACCAACCTTTTATTCCTTAGAAGATTAAAATAACTTATTTCCCAATAATGATAAAAATTATGGTATATACTTTTTAATCTAAGCTCCCACCAGCATAGTATAAGGGCTTCTGTTTCCCCAATCTTTACTAACATTGGCTGTCATCACTCTTTATCATCAAATACCTAAAACACATTTTTCACTATATACTTTGTATTTCTTTAATAATAAGTTTGGTTAGAATTTCAAATATTTATTTACTATCTGAATTTTTCTTAGAACTGCCTATTCAGTCCTTTGCCACTTTTTATTGCCCACTGTTATTAGATAAATAACCTGTTTTTTTTCGTCTTTTGCTGATTGACATTAATCTTTCATCTATCACATATGTGGCATATATAGTATTAACTAAAGATCATTGTCGGACTTCCGCCAAAATGGAGGCATAGGTGGAGACGTCATGCTTCCTCACATAACCAAGTTTAGAGACAACTAAATAATAGCAACAGAAAACACAGCCAGAACACAAAAAATTGAACTTTTCGGAAGTCGGATAACAACAAATTCTTCAGCCTGACTGCGTCATAATCCAGTGACCTAAGTGGCCCTGCCCCGGTGAACAACCTAAGGCTCTGCTCTTCACCTAGCTGGGAGAAACAGCAGAGGGGGCCGCCATTTCCCCACTCTGACCCTGCCTCCACATACAGAGTCACAACCCAGCGACCTGGGAGTCCAAGGCTCCGCTCCTCATACTTAACGGGCGCAAACAGACCAAAAATGGCTCAAGAAAATCTCAAAGCCCCAGAGCCTATAAATCTAAGCAATGAAGAAATAGCAAAACTCTCAGACGCACAGTTTAAAACACTGGTGATCAGGATCCTCACAGAACTGGTTGATTATAGCCACAAATTAGAGAAACATATGAAGGCGAAACTAATTGAAATGAATGGAATTGCACAGGAAACCAATAGCAATGAAAGGAAACTGGGACTCAAATCAATGGAGTGGACCAGAAGAAAGCAAATAATGGCCAAACAGAAAAGGGTGAAGAAGCAAGAATTCAAAAAAAAATGAGGAGAGTCTTAGGAACCTCCAGGACATCTTTAAACGCTCCAACATCCGAATTATAGGGGTACCAGAAGGGGGAAAGGAACAGCCACCAGTGGAAAACTTATTTGAACAAATAATAAAGGAGAATTTCCCCAATCTGGCAAAGGAAATAGACTTCCAGGAAATCCAGGAAGCTCAGAGAGTCCCAAAGAAGTTGGACCCAAGAAGGAACACACCAAGGCACATCATAATTACATTAGCCACGATTAAAATGAAGGAGAGAATCCTAGAAGCAGCAAGAGATAAGGGCACAGTTACCTACAAAGGAGTTCCCATCAGACTGTCAGCAGATTTCTCAAGAGACCTTATATGCAAGAAGGGGCTGGAAAGAAGTATTCCAAGTCATGAAATCCAAAGACCTACAACCAAGATTGCTCTATCCAGCAAAACTTTCATTTAGAATGGAAGGGCAGATAAAGTGCTTCTCAGATAAGATCAAATTCAAGGAGTTCATCATCACCAAGCCCTTATTATATGAAATATTAAAGGTACTTATTTAAGAAAAAGAAGTTAAAAAAACATGAATAGTGAAAGGACAACAATCTCACAGTTATTAACAACCACACCTAAAACAAAAGCAAACTAAAAGGACAGCTAGATCAGGAGTGGAAACATAGAAATGAAGATCTCAAGGAGGGTTAGCAACAGGGGAGTGGGAGGAGGAGAAGGGGGGAGAAGGTACAGAAAATAAGTAGCATAGACAGCAGATAGAAAATAGTGGGGAGGGTAAGAATATATGGGAAATATAGAATCTAAAGAACTTGAGACATATGGTCATAAACTAAAGGGGGGTAATGGTGGGGACGGGGGTAGGGTGGAGGGGAATGAAGGGGGGAATAGAACAATTGTAACAGCATAATCAATAAAAAAATAAATTAAAAAAAGATCATTGTCACTAATTCAATACCAATAGGCATCCCCAATTTTGGACACAGTTGAAGACGTCTGGTAAACAAATGACATTTATATCAGAAAAATAATTCAAGGAGGGTAAGATGAAGAGAATGGAAAATAATAATGAGCAATGGATCTTATAAAACATCTAATAATGATGAGAAATAAGTACTGTTAATCAGAAGTGACATACTCTAAGCAAGAAAATGAAAATTATAAATTATATGGATTTGAAGAGAATGTGATTAGGGAGGAGAAAGCATTTTTAGTTCTTGTTTTGATGGAGGAAGGAAGGAAAGTTGCAAGAAAAAGGGCAGTGACGGGTCTTTGGGGCAGGAGAGGAAAAAGGAAGGTGATACTTGAAAATTGCCAGGAGAAAAAAAAAGAAAATGTCTGAGAGCACACTGTGTATTTGGATGTAGGGCTCTGTGTGGACCCTGACTCGACCACAGACATCTCTTCCCGTTCCTGTTCCACCTTCCAAGAGGAAGCACATGTTCTCTCTCACTTTTTTTCTTCTTTGTCCTTTCTTTTATCAATAAGAGGATGAATGGTGGGGACACTTGGGGCTTAAGGCAAAGTCACGCGCTTCCTTGAAACTGAACATCTCATTTGATTAAGAGCTTGGGAGTGGAACAGCTGAGCTTCAAATCCCAATTCTGCCACTTTCTAGTCATATGACCTAGTCTCTGTGCCCCTGTTCTCCCAGTCAGGTTAAATATAAAAGTAATCAAAATTAAACATCCAAATACTTATAGATTAAAACTTCAGTTGAATTAAATTCACCTGCATTAGGATTTGCTACACTTTAGCAAATTATTAATTGTGCAAAATTCCATGTTAGCAGATTAGGTATTTATAGATTTGCTAAAGTAGAGTAACACCACATAAAAAGTATTTTGATAACCTTTCTATTATAATCTTGCTAATGGTTTAAACAAAGACTGAGGAATCTCATGTAATCAAAATAACCTTCATGGCTCTTGGAATATCAGCGATAAATGGGAAGGAAAAGGAAAGAGAGAAGAGAAGGAGAGGGAGCTACAGGGAGATGCACAGAGAGGGGAAAGGAGAGAGGGGGGAAAAGAGAGGCTGGAAGGAAAGGAAAAAAGGAAAGGAGAAGGGAGAGAAATAGAGGGGAAGAAAAACTATCATCTAGTGATCTTTCATCTTCCAGCTATGGTTTTACTGCACTTTCTTAAGCAGAATATATACACTGTATATGAAACTTCACTTCTGTGATTTCAAGGTACTCCTTGGAAACATTTTTTAATTGTGTTTTCTCTCTAAATTGTTGCTTTTGTTATGAGATGTACTCTGCACAATGGTTTCAGAATTAACTCCTTTCTCTTTTTAAAAAATACAAATTTCATGTGTAAAATTTGGTTTCACTATTGAAGCAGGAATACAGTTTAAAGTAAACAAGCTTATTAAATTACCTTTATAGATTCCACATTAAATATTAACATGTCAGTAGATAAAACATGAAAATCGATATTAGATGAGTTGTCATGTGTAATCAAAGTTATAAATTAATAACCCAGTAAACCAAGTAATGGATATGCATTTAGTAGCATGGTGGAAGGATTTGATGAAAACCAGAGCTATTTTTGTTATCAGAGGAGTGAGCATTCTAAATATTTTTCCAAACAACAAAATGTTCTCCTTGGTAATAGGATAAGAGCCACTCCAAAGCAAGAAGTTGATCTCATTTGGATGCATTTTATTGGAAACCACTCGTCAGAGGTCAATTCCTGCTCCAACTGGGAGAGAACTAAGCAGACTATGCATGTCATCACCAGATTTGTTCAAGGATTAATAGTTCCAAAGAACAAGATGCCTTTAAAAATCTTCCTGTAATATTACACCCAAGAGGGACTTGTCCCACCATTCCAGTCCCCTTTGCACATTGAAGGGAAGATAGTGGCTTTTCACAAGTATCAGACAAATAGGGCACATGTATAATCCAGTGCATGTTCTAAATCATCTCTCTTGTTTCAGGCCAAGTCACAGCATTCATGGGACCTGCCAAAAAAAAAGGTCGCCTATCCTGAGGTGGGTGGCGTAGCAAGAGATGTTTAGAGCATCTCTCACCACGAGGGAAGGCTGCAATGTCCCTGGAAAGATATTGTCTGATTCTGCTCCTAATTTGGTTCAAATGACCTTGAAAGGCCAAGGGATTTCTCTAAGTCCTCCACTCCAAATATAAAGGGCTACAAAAATGAGACTGCAGGACAGTGCCTGTGGCCTTCACAAGTAAGAGCTGAGGAGTCAGGAGTGGGGCTGTGAGACTTGCCCTTCTTTGCACCCCAGCAAGATAATAGTTCACCTGCAAATTCATCTTTAAGGTATAGTCTGCTGAGTTTGTGTTGTCACGAGTGGGAACAGCCCACATCTGGGGCTAGAAACTAAGATAAACTCCTTATTTCTGTGCCTTTGTTGTCCACTTAGACTCATTTCTCCTCATTTTGAACAGCCTACCTTGCATTGGTTTGGGAATAGATTTAGACAGGCCAGGAGTTTTTTTCCTCTCCAATTTCTTTGTCAATAATGCATGAATTTCAAGTTAAAGGTGTGGGGAAAAAAACAGAAATTAGTAAGGGGTAGGGAGAAAAAACAGAAATAAAAATGTTAAAAAAAAGAAAGAAATTAGTGTTGATTTCACTTAATAAGACTCTCTTAAGATTAAATAAAACACAGAATATACCTTATGTTGATTGATGAATAACTTAGTCCCAAGAAAACATTCAGTACAGATGCCAGAATTATGAAGGCTCCTTTGAAAGCTGATGCAAGAAGGTTAAACTTTAATTTGGGTTTTTTACTTGACTGAATAACCTGGAACTTGAGAAATTAAACTTTGGAATTTAATTTTGTTTTAGTTTACAAAAATGACCATTATCTAACCCCATATTAAATGACATAAGTACATGAGCCTTGCACAAAGTTAAGCTTCAATAAATGTTCTTTGATAAAATCAATATTTACTAAAAGGAACTTCTAGTACTCTTTAAATGTAAGTTTAGTAAGGTAGATTTAAGAATTGCCATTGGAATTATGACTTTTCCAACTTAGTGATGTTACTGCAAATAAAACTAATTATCTTAATAGATATAAACTCTATTAAAAATGCCTTTGCTGTGGGGAATGCAGATAAATATAACTGTTTATTTGTCAAAAAACAGCCCCCTTTTGATAAAAGCCTGTCTAATTACTAATATTTGCTCTTCACATATGGGAAAGGCAACCAGATATCCTCATGTGGAGGTGAAAAAACTAAAATACAAAGCCCCTCTGATGTTGAAGGCAGACTCTTTTCTTGAATTTGATGATGTTTTCCCTATTAGAGCAAGGGAGAACTTTGATGAGCCTCTACTAAACCAGACATGTCAACTCATAGATGAGGAAAGTGAAATGAAGAATCTTTGCCAAATTCTAAAAAACAAACTTTCTGAAAAAGTGAATGAAATTCATAAAAGACCTTTAAACACATATTTAAGATTAATGATATTATGGTTGAAATAACTATATGCCAAATATTATTCAAAGAAAGTAGGAGAAACAAATTATAATTGGTCATTTAGAATATCTATTGATTGTTAGAACTTGAGCATTTCTTTTTACCTACCTCAAACTATGTGCTTTTTTCATTAGCACAAGAATGCAATAAAATTGAGGTTAATGTTTATTTGTTTAAATAATGCATTTATGTTTGAAGCATAACTGGATTAAAATATATACTGTCTGCACATTGCCACTGCCATGATTTGTTTATTCACTAATTCGACAAATATTTTTGAGTGCCAACTATTTTCAGGGTCTGTCTTGGGGTAGCATGTTTGGTTGCTTTCTCCTGAGTACAAGACCAGAAGCTGTGCTTGTGCCTTTTCACTAAGAGCCAAATACATTGATAGTCTGGACTTTCTGCCCAATTGAAGACTAGAAATACGATTATAGTAGAGGATGTTCTGAGTCAGTAAACATTCCAACATTGACATAATTGCAAAGGGTGATATGGAATTATACATTCAATATTTAACAGCACATGGCCTTTGACTTGCGATTATGCTTCTAGGGGTTTGTGCTGCACATATACTTGTATATATGAACAAAATGAATGGTTCACTCTGTTTTTTTGGTAATAGACCCAAACAGGAATTAATTTAAATGTCTATCAGTGTAAGAATGGGTAAGTGTATTATGGTATATCCATAAAAAATGGCAGCTAATGAAAAACCATGTGGACTGGTAAGGAGATATTTTCTTAAGTGAAAAAACCAGAATGTAGAACAGTACATATATCATGGTACTACTTGCAAAGAAATGTTACATATACATAGGGTGGGGCAAAAGTAGGTTTACAATTGTGACTATGCAAAACTCTGTTATGCTTGTATTAATTAATTATTGTATCATTTTTGTACAGACAACTATAAACCAGCTTTTCCCCCATCCTGTATATATACACACACACATGCTTTCATTAAAAGGGAAAGATAAATAAAACAGCATTAACAATGGACATTTTTTGGAAGTGTAGCTTGCTGCAACAAGAGAGGAGGAAGAAGACTTTTACTATTTTTTTATATCCTTCAGTACTTTCTGAGATATTTTGCTGTGTACATGTACTACATTTACATTTTTTTCAAACACAGGTTTTAAAAAATATATTTTATTTATTTATTTTTAGAGAGAGGGGAAGGGAAGGAGAAAGAGTGGGAGAGAAATGTCAATGTGCTGTTGCCTCTCATGTGTCCCCTACTGGGGACCTGGCCTGCAACCCAGGCATGTGCCCTGACAGGGAATCAAACCAGCGACCCTTTGCTTCACAGGCCCGTGCTCAATCCACTGAGCTACACCAGCCAGGGTCAAACACAGTTTTAAAGGGGTATCTTTGCTAATAGTGTAAAAGTTTGAAACCCATTGGCCAAATTATTTGGGGAATTTTCTAAAGAGAACAATTGAATAAATTATGGCATGCAATAATTTTCATATATATCTCCAAATATATGAACCATCCCAACCATAAGAAAACAGTACTCAGGGAGGAAAAGAAAAGTGAATGCTCTTCTGTCCCATTACTTTTGCTTGCAAGTGTCTTATTTCCCTCAACACCACTGCCAAGTGTGCCAACTGTGTTTACTCTCTTTGACAGCCATGCTCACTCCTCCCCCATCCCACTACAACAGTCCTCCTGAACTTGTGCTTAGACTCAGCTGCCCTCACACATCTTGAGTCTCTAAGGAATTACTCTTTATTAATTGGAATAATTTGGCTTGTTATTGTAATCAAAATAGCCTTCAAATAAAGAGTGGAGTAGAAATGTGGGACAACCACTACCTGATTTTATTCTTACTCAACAAAGAAATAGAGATGATTAAGGACCCTTCTTTCCAGATATTTAATTAGCTAAAAAGAAAAAAAGGTTTCTGGAAACAATTATTTTGGAACAATCAGACTGTGGCTAGTGCCAATTGTTTTAAAAGGAATATACAACCCGTTTCTGTTTAGAAAAAAATAACATTATGATTAGTGAATGTCAAACAGCCAGTGGGCTAGAAGTTTGGGGTGCCAGGGGTAGGGGCAAAACAATATTTTAGACAAATTTTTTATTTTAACCAGCCAACTTACCTTTCACACATTTTAATTTTTTCCTTTTGATTGAAGTTATTCAGGTGAGACTGGTTAACAAAATTATGCAGGTTTTAGGTGCACAATTCTACAAAAAAAACATCTGTACACTGTATAGTGTGTTCACCAACCCAAGGCAAGTCTCTGTTCATCACCATTTATACACCCTATACACTGCTCCACTTCCTTCTTCCCCACCTCCCCCTAGCATTCACCACATTGTCTTTCATGTCTGTGAGGTTTTTTCTTTTTATTTTTTCAATCCTTTCACCCCTAGCCCCACCATGACAGCTATCAGTCTGCTCTCTGAGTCTATCCCTATTGCTTGTTAGTTCAGTTTGTTCATTAGATTCCATATATGAGTTAAATCATATGGTGTTTGTCTTTCTCTGACTGGCTTACTCCACTTAGCATAATACTCTACAGGTCCATTCATGCTTTTCCAAAGGATAAGATGTTTTTTTATGGCTGAGTAGTATTCCATTTGTGTAAATGTACCACCACTTTTTTATTCACTCATCTACTGATGGACACTTGGGCTGCTTCCAAATCTTGGCTATTATATAAACATTGCAATAAACATAGGTGTGCATATATTCTTTTGAATTAGTGTTTCAGGTTTCTTCAGATAAATTCCCAGAAGTGGAATCACTGGGTCATAAGGCAGTTCCAATTTTAATTTTTTGAGATAACTCCATACTGCTTTCCACAGTTGCTACACCAGCCTGCATTCCCACAAACAGTGCACTAGGATTCCCTTCTCTGCACATCCTTACCAGCACTTGTTATTTGTTGATTTATTAATGGTGGCCATTCTGATGACTGTGAGGTGATATCTTATTGTGGCTTTAATTTGCATCTCTCTGATGGCTAGTACTGTTGAGAATTTTTTTGTATGCTTATGGGCCAACCATATATCTTCTTTGGAGATTTGTCTCTTCAGGTACTTTGCTCATTTTCTAAATGGATTGTTTGTTTTTTTTTGGTGTTGAGTTTTTTAAGTTCTTTATAAATTACTGATATTAATTCCTTATATGTTTTTAATAGAAATAGAATATAAAATTTGCTAGAGAAGTTACCACTTTTAATTCAAAATTTATTGCACCACTTTGACTGACTAGATGAATGGTATCAGCATGAAAGAATCATAGGTGTTTTGTTCACTAGACAGGCAATGTCTTTCCTTGTGTGAAGGACATCAGATGAAGTAAGGTCCTTGCCCCATTGTAGTTTAGACTCTATCTGAAGGAAAAATAGTATGTGGTCAAAATCAAGGAAAATGGAGACCTGGCTCCTGGTTCCAACCTAGCCAGGCATGGAGGCTCTGTGTTTCAATGGATGTGGGAGACACAGACCCAGGTGTTCCTCTGTGTGTGGCAGGATGGTCTCTCAGCCCACTTCCAACTCCAACTAGGTAACTAGACATCAAATGAAACAGCCTGGGCATTAATAATATAAACCTACAGTGCTTAGCAGTGACCTAGGAGAGTGAAGCTAAACTGTGATTGCTTTTGCTTTGCTGTGTTTTATTTAACACTATATGTCCTAGTGTGTTTCTCCTGGAATCTAAGGCAGAGCTACCTGATCCATGGGGAACTCAGGGGTTTTTCCTATTAGTCCATGTAGAAATAAAAAACTGCTGACTAAAAAGGACAAGTCTGGCCAACATGTATGTTTTTATGGTCCATACAGTGCTTTAAAATGTCTTAAATTTATT